GGTGGCTTTGGATTCCATTGAAGAGCTGTGCTATGAGATGGGTCTGCATAAACTTGAAGCCTTGGATGAATATGCTATATTTGTGGTCACAAACAGAGGTTAGATGACAAAAAGGAAAACACATAATCAAAATCTAATATCAGATTTGTAGTAGCTGATATGGTAGTTCACTTATCTTAGGAAATGAAAGGGTCATTTTAACTTAAGGAATAGTTCACCTAAAGATGAAAATTTACTCACCCTCAGGTCATCCAAGATGTAGATTAATTTCTGAGAAATTTAGCATTACATCACTTGCTCACCAATGGATGCACTGTAGTGAATGGGTGCCGTCAGAATGAGAGTCCAAACAGCTAATAAGAACACCACAATAATCCACAAGTAATTCACGTGACTCCATCAATGAATGTCTTGTGAAATGAAAAGTTTTTATCAGCTGTTTGGACTCTCATTCTGACGGCACCCATTCACTACAGTGTATCCATTGGTGAGCAAGTGATGCAATGTTACATTCCCCAAAATCTGTTCTGACAAAGAAACAAACTCAGCTACATGTTGAATGCCCTGAGGGTGAGTACATTTTCAGCAAATTGTAATTTTTGGGTGAACTCTTCCTCTTAAGATGATAAAAGTGTTACAAAGATTGAAAGCTGTATTCTCATGTGTTGTCAATTTTTCTCCAGGTCAGAATGTCCGCCCTCTAAACAAAAGGGAGTACATCTTGGATGTTGCTACAGAAGCTGAACATGTTGATAGCAACTACAGTCTGTGGTTTCGAAGAGTGATCTGGACGCAGCCACTGAAGTTTGACAATGAGCTCGGAGTCACTATGCATTACAATCAGGTACATCAGCCAGACTGATTCAATTTCCCAGACGTTCCTTTCATGTTTTGTGCTGCTTATTGCGCAAGTTACAAAGATCTGAGGCATTTGTTCTCGATTTGATCTAAGTTTTCTCTGTTCAGGCTACTAATCTGATCTTCATTCACATTTTACAGGTGTCCCCTGACTACTTGAAAGGGCTGCTCAATGTTGTCCCACAGGGTAAAGCCAGTGAGCAGCAGCTTCAGCAAGTGTCAAAACTGGCAGCTCTGCAACATCGTGCCAAGGACTCAATCTACCTGCCCACCTTGTAATGCAATTAATCTGACTGACATCATATCCTGAATTTATCAACCAGAGAAAGAACTGACTTATGTATCAATGAAAAGCTTTAAAACGGGTCACATTTACCCCACTGAACTAAATTACCATTGCACTTCATATGTGTGAATAGATTACTATAATTTTTAACCCTTATACACATTGAAATTATTATAATATACCTTTCAAAAGTTTGGGGTCTGTAAGATTATTTTATTCATCAAGGATGCATTAAATGGATCAAAAGTAAAGTAAAGACATTTTATAATGTTACAAAAGATTTTTGTTTCAAATAAATACTGGTCTTTTTATTTTTCTGTTTATCATATAAAAAAGTGGTATCCTCAAAAATATTAATATTAAACAGGACAACAGTTTTCAACATTGATAATAATGAGAAATGTTTCTTATGCACCAAATCAACATATCAGAATGATTTCTGAAGCATCATGTGACACTGAAGACTGGAGTAATGATGCTGAAAATTCAGCTTTAACATCACAGGAATAAATTGCATTTTAACATATATTATTTAAAACAGAATTCATTTTACATTGTGAAAATATTCTACAATATTATATTATTAATGTATTTTTGATCAAATAAATGCATCCTTGGTGGGTATGAGAAAAACCCAAAACTTTGAACTGTAGTTTGAGATATACATTAAGCTTGGTTGCCATCATTCTGGTCTCTTCAAGCAGAAACTTGAAGGGAAATACAATCCCAGGGATCATTACTAGGTATGAGGGAGAAATGAGTCCCTTTGAAAAGATCTGTCCACATGTTAATTACTGTGCCAGTAATTGTAGATAGGTCAAATTCACAGTTATAAAAACACAGTGTTGTGCTTGTAATTTTGCAGTTGGCCCCTGATGGAGAACATCACCTGGCTGATGTCCCTCAGCTAATATAAGTTACCTCTTCTATAGACTAACGCTCTCTTGTTCTCTGCCATCAGCCATGAGGTTCAGGAGTATATCCCCACCCAGCTCTTCGGTCTCCAGCGGCACCAGCAATGGTTAAACATGGTGACCCAGCACATGCAGCAAGTGCAGCCCCTCACTCCTCATCAGGCCAAAGCACAATTTCTGGGTGAGGTGTTGACTTGGGAGAACAGCCAGTGTGAAGGCAGTGGCCTTTTATTCCAAACACTGATTGTTGTGCTTGTGTCTCTGTTTCAGGGCTCGTGAGTGCTTTTGCCATGTTTGGCTCATCATTCTTCTACATACAGAGCAGCAGTAATAGTGCTATCGACACCCCATGCATACTGGCTGTCAATCAAAATGGTCTGAACTTTCTAAGAAAAGATACTCATGTAAGTTTAACCCCTTTATTTCCAATGCTTACTAAAAGCCTACAGTATGTAAAAATAGCCTCAGGACTTTTTGGCCATGGTTTTTAGGCTGTATTTCTAAAACTACAGCATATTTTTAAATAATAGCTGACCTAAAAATTAAAATTCTGTCACAATTTAGAAAGCCATATGTTTGAAATGACTTGAGGGTGAGTAAATAAGTATCTTCTGCTCATCAAGGCTGCATTTAATTGATAACAAATACAGCAAAAACAGTAATATTGTGAAATGTTAAATGCAGCCATTACTCCAGTCTTCAATGTCACATGATCCTTCAGATGTCATTTTAATATGCTGATTTGCTGCCTAAGAAACAGTTCTTATTATTATCTACATTATTATTATATGTTTGTGCGAGGTACAGACTTGAATGACGAGGTTAGAAGTTTTTTTTGTTGTTTAATTTATACAAACAAAAGTATGCAATGATTCAGTGATTAAATATGTCATCTGCTTTGACACTGCTAAAGTGTCCATTTTACTGTATATTTTTCTGCATTTCCTCCCATGATATTTTATAACGGTCTCATATAGACGTCACAGCTGTTTTCAATGTTCTTCAGGAGCCGATGGTGAAGTTTCCGCTGAAAGAGGTCCAGTCCACCCGTACACAGAGGCCCACATCTGGCTCCAGTTACCCGTACGTGGAGATAATGCTGGGTGACCTAATGTCTCAACGCATTACACAGTTACAGCTGGACCAGGTATGGACTTTGGAATATATGATTGCAAATCATCACGTAATCTAATTGTGCAATATCTGCTCATTTTAATGCCCTTTTAATGCCCTAGGGGAAGTCATGGCCTAATGGTTAGAGAGTCGGACTCGTAACCTAAAGGTTGTGGGTTCGAGTCTCGTACCGGCAGGGATTGTAGGTGGAGGGAGTGAATGTACAGCGCTCTCTTCCACCATCAATACCACGACTGAGGTGCCCTTGAGCAAGGCACCGAACCCCCAACTGCTCCCTGGGTGCCGCAGCATAAATGGCTGCCCACTGCTCCGGGTGTGTGTTCATGGTGTGTGTTCACTTCACTGCACTTTGGATGGGTTAAATGCAGAGCACTAATTCCGAATTACTTGGCCACACTTTTAAGGTGTGTTGTTAATCTGAGTTGGTCATTTTCATTGGGCCTGTGTGGGCGGAGCTTATTCCTGTGCGTTTGACTTTACAGAGTCTTGAGCTGTGCCGTGTTATCGCCATGCATATGGAGAACCTGCTGTCAGTACGAGAGAAGAGACTTACTCTGCCGCCCAGTGAAATCACTCTGCTCTAGCACCCCTTCTCACAGATTATATTTATTATTCCTTTTATGGCAATAATTGCAATCAGACACAACTTAACTCCTACACGTCGAAAGCCAGCTGTAATTATTGATAGTGCAATATGCCTGTTGGCAATTTCAAAACCAATTTCCAGGATTAGCTTGTTATGCACAATAGTTTGCATGCATTCCTTTAGGTTGAACATATGGGCCTATAGTTTCAAACGGTATAGAACTACCTCTAGTTCTGGACACGTGATCAGCAAGACTTTATTTTTGTATGAGAGAGAGGGAAACACTTTTTTAGCCACTAGTTTTGAAGTTCCTCTCTTAAATACTGATTTGCACTACTTGAGACTATTGTATGTTTTAAATATTTATATATTGTTTGCTTTTATGTGTCATGTGGATGTGAATGGGAAATGAACTATATGCACAATGAATGTAGGTTTAATATGAAGTCTTTATTCTAAATAAAAAAAAGAAAATCACAATTGACCTGTGTTTTTCCCAAATGTGTATTACTTATTTACAGTAGATGCACAATTTGAGGAATCATACATTGAATAATATATTTTAAAAAGCATTATTATTATTATTATTATTATTATTAAATAAAGCAAAAACTATTAAAAACATTTTTGTTAATTGAAATAAAGCTTAAATAAATTACAATTCAATATGCAATAAAATACAGTAAATAATAAAATAGAAATATATAAATATTACATGTAAAACTAAAACATTTCAAATGTCGCCTGGAATACGTTTAGGCTGAAACACTAAAATTGCTAGCTGGTAATAAATAAAAGCAACATAAAAATATTCAAAAGTGAAATAAAACTAAAACAAATAATTTAAACAAAGAGTAAGATTTAAAATAAATAATAATAAATGACAAAACACATATCATTAAAAATTAAACTAAAATTAAAAGGAAATGTAAAAATAAAAGTGAATAAAAATTTTTAATAAAAACTTTAATTGCATGTAAATAATACTAAAAGAACATGATTTGATTGGCTGCTTTCTCCATGCAATGAAATTGAATTGCTGCCAGGCGATGATCAAATGTGTGAGTAAGTAAAGCTAATCCAGCGGATTCCTGATCCGTGTTTTCCACACGCACACTGGCGGTGGGCGTGGTTTGGTGAATTGGTCACAGATTCTTGCATTCTGATTGGCTCTCCCAAGACGTGGTTCCTGTGAACTTGCCCTGTGGTCAAACAGCAGAAACACAGAGCTAAAAACTTGCACGGCTTGAGGAGTGGATACAAAAGAAACTGGAGCTTGCATGAAGGATCACATTGTTTCTCTGCACCGATTCACGCCTAACGGAGTTGATATCAATCTGAGACGGCGCGGGCTGTGATATTTCTCTGATTCGGCTTCAGGATGATGAAGTTTAGGTTCAGACGGCAGGGGAACGACCCTCATCGTGAGAAAATCAAACAGGATCTGTTTGCATTCAATAAGGTATGTGGGATATATAGCGTTGGGTCTCCTCTCTCTCTCTCTCGAGCATGCATGCGGTTTCGGGTTTCATTGAAATAGACTGAAAGAACATTTAATTCAAGCAAATGTATTCACACATGACTTATTGTGAACGTGTTCAATTTCATTTACTTTCTCTGTATTAACATGCATTTGCTAATATGGCAATGGTTTACAACTATCATGGCCAGATATGATCATATATGCGCATGAAAGTTGTTTGAAACAGTAGCTTTTCTTTTTGTTAGTGCACAGTTGAACACTTATGGCTTCAAGAGAATGAGAAATGTGTTGTGTTTGCGTGTAATATTCATCTTCATCAATGGAGCTCATTAAATCAGAGTGACCTCAAAGTTTTCTCATGTTTGTAACTTTAACCGTTACGAACGACTGATTAATATAGGGTTAGGGTGGTTAGTTATATATTACTGACTTTATATGCATGCATGCATACATACATATGTAGTTTATAATTTATTGTTCTTTTAGTATTTTTACTAAAAGCGCAATTTATTTAGCTCAATGAGTGTTTTATTTAGTTGAAAATAAATAATGTTTGTTTATTTATGTTTGTTATTGAGCCTTGAATGTATCCTGCAGTTGCAGGGTGATTGTGAGGATTTGTAGAGCTCTTAAATCATAACGAACATGTTACTGCTCTCTTGCCAAATACATAGAAAGTGTTTGATTGTAGGCTCTTTACTGATGACCAAACTCTGGCACCATTACAGCACAATCAAACATTTCTTCCCTCCTCCTCAGTGTAAAGCAAAACAGGAGGAAATGAGAGATCTCACATTATGCATGTTTTTAGCGTAGCCTATTAAAGTCCCCACTTTTGTTCATTTCTCAAATGCTGCTGATGACATCTATCCACAGATGGTTTAGGAAAAACAGAGCGGCGGTGTCATGCTGATGAAGTGTCATGACACCGTGTGTAATGTTACAGGAAGGCCCTGTTATTTATCATGTCACATTTTGTCAACCTGTGAAAAGACATCTGCATCATTCGGCCAACTTCAAGCCTGGTTTTGCTTAAATTGGTCTGTTGATTTAAGGGGACATTTTTAAAATTACCCAAGAACCTGTTTCTGCAAATCACTTTTGATAGCTTGTGAAGATGAATTTGACATTGTCTGTCAAATCTACTAGAGTTCCTTCCTTGCTATTTTTGGTTCTGCGTTATGGGTTTTTGTTGTTGTTGTAAAAACAAGGAAATCCCCTTCCTGACAAGACTGCACTGTAGATCTATAATAGATCTACTGCATTGTTAACTGTAGCATCAGGGCTCATTAGAGGTCAATAAAGTATGAATTGGTTTCTTTTTTTAAGCTCAGCAGAAAAAGTCTATATGATGTACATGCGAGTTTAAGTTCTGAATGTGTGATTTCCTCTTCTCTTCTTTTACTCAGACTGTTGAACATGGATTCCCAAACCAGCCAAGTGCTTTGGCCTATGATCCCAAACTGCAGCTTATGGCCTTTGGAACTAAATCAGGGGCCATCAAAATGTATCCTTTTGTGAGTGCTTTCCTCAAATAGAGTGGATCTAGTTTAATTGTTTTGTTTATATACACTACTGTTTAAATGTTTGGAGTCAGTAAAAGTCACAGTAAAGACGTTTGCATTGTTACAAAAAAAAGTTGATTTCAAATAATTGCTGTGCAGAATTCTCTATTTATCATTAGCTAAATAATCTTACTGACCCCAAACACTTGAACTGGAGTCTATATCTACTCAAAAGTTTGTACACACCTTCTCAGTTGTTTATCTTCCCCATTCAAATAATAAATTAAACATTTCAATCAAAAATTAAGATAAATCAAAATGATGTATTTATTTTAATAATGATTTTGTAAGTATACCCACTGTTTGTGTAGATTACAGTGAGTCTCTCAATTGGCTTCGTGAGCTGCATCTATGGTTCTTAAGTATTCAGTCCAAATCATCCATTAAAACAAGTTTTTAAAGAAATTCCTATATAGGTGCAATTTGTACTTGTCTGTATAATAGTGTGTCCAAACTTTTGTGAGAAACGCTGACATTTTACATTAACACCAGCGTCTTCAGCTTTATAAAATGAAACGCTTTACATCCTTGCTGATACTTCTCCAAACTCTTAGAGCATTTCATAAAATGTTGAGAAAGATTTGGTCAATTTTATCTAGATCAATAATACAATGAATGCAGTGAGTGAATGTCCTAGTTTATGGTTCACTGATTGTGATTAATTACTCTGGATGTATGGCTCTGCTGTGCTGAAGACTTGAGTCATTTGCCTTTGTACACAATGTGACTCATTACATGTTATGCTGGTCCTCTAAAATGTGCTACTTTGAAAACAAACTTTCCTAAATTGTCATAATTATAGTCGACACTGTCCAGGCCTGAATCTTTGAGTCTGTAGTGGGTAGAAGGAATGTTTAGGAGGATACTATCAGAATAAAGTGTAGGAGACTCCTCTGGTGAGCTGTTATTATCTAGTCCTTCTGAACCGGACAGATCGGACAGGCCAAGTATCATGGAATACATCCAACATTCTTCCACAGTCACGCTTGCTTTTTTTTTTTTCCTGTGATGGAAGCTGAGATACGGGCAGGATCAGTGATCTTATAGTGATTGTGGTGGTACAGTACAGGTCTTTGAGCTTTAGGAGGCTGGTAGTGTCAGGCACAGCCCAGCTGAGAGACGCTCAGCCTGCAGCCTTGAGAGAGGGGGGGGGGCGCGCTAGCTGTGGGATGGCCTGATCTGACAACCTGCCACTCACCAGATCTGAGCGAATATCTGTCAGCACTTACAAACTAATGCCTCATCCATCAGACATGAAAACTCATGATGGAGAGAGGACAGGGACTGGTCGGTGTTCTGAGGTTGAGTAATGAGAGGTTTGGCTTTGAAAGCATTTCCTCTGATTGGGTGTTGGAGTGGGTGTGATGAGAGATCAAAGTTTGGTTTACCCAGTCTGACTCTCATCCTCTTTAAAACTGGATGTCTTTGAATAACATTTGGGAATATAATATTAGTTTAGTGTTGGCGAATTTCTCTCTTCTGTCATCAAGAGTTCTCTTTGAGATACTTAAGTTCTGTTCAGATGTTTCCTCATAATTTTTTAACAAGGAAAGCTAAATGACTTGGTGTCACACTAGCTTGTTTTGAGAAAAAATCTGCAGAATGCATTTAAACATGGTACAATTATGCTAAAGCATAATCAAATTAGCCAAAATATTTAATAATACAAGAGATCCTAGAGCTTTTTATTTTAGGACCCTGCTAGAGAGATATGATCGATCTCAAGACCTGCTGAAAATGTTTTACAGTGAAATATGAGGGGGAAAACGAAAGTTAGTTAAACGTAAGTTCACTTTTTTTTTAACAAGTTACTTTTTTTTTTTTTTTCATAAAAGGCTTTAAGGAATCTATGAAAATAAGGATAAACCTGAAGACATGACTTTGAGCTATACAGATAAAGAGAAAATATATTTTTTCTTTCTTGATGCTGCTGCAAGAGCAGCTTTATGGCTATATTAAACTAATAAATCATTGACATGGAACTTGCACATTAGTAAGTGAGTCATATGTTGGTCCAGTAGCTGGATTTAGTGAGTTCATTCAAATAAGGATTTGTCAGACTGATTCGAAACAGTGACTCTTTTTGAACGCTTTATTAAAGTTGTGATAGATGTTTTCTGTATTGTGACGTACGTCTGAGTCTAACGGACTGCATGTAAAAACTATATGTTTTTACATGCAGCCTGTGAAGAGCGTCAAAGCTGAAAAGCAATGCGGGAAACATAAGTTATGCCCACCAACAAACTTGTTAATTTGACATGAGCTTACACATGAACTATTCTCACTTTGCGTTAACCACAATTTAAAAACTGTTGTAATTAACATTCATGCAATCGGTGGGGGATGTGCACTACATTGTGAAATTAAGGTCTTTCCAGTTCTGTGCATATATGCTGAATTGTATATGTGTTGATTCCATGTTGGCCTGCTTATGTCTTTCTGCACTCCTGTCTTTAATTCATTAAGTGCAGGAGACCCAGACTCTTTTCCTATGGGTCATGCGTAAACTTGGGCTGAATCAATAGCCATATCCTGCTGGATGAAAAAACTAACAAGTTCTTTATGAACAGCTTATAAATTGAACACCGCATACAGCCATCCAGCATTTTATCAGTTCCTGCTGAGTTATTTGATTAAGCTGTCAATGCTTTCTTCATTAGTTCGAGAAAACAACTAATAAAAAAGCTGCTGTGGTTTGATAAGCTCCATTTTATCTGGATTGGTTCCAGCTCCAGATGTGTGATTTGCACTACAGCCCGACCGATATATCGTTTAGCCGATATTATCGGCCGATATGAGCCTGCCGCCGATATGATTTTTTTTGTTTTTACAGAACATATAACCAGGGTCGGCACCAAAGCGCACAAAGTGAGGGGCAGGCACAATTTTTTTGGGGGGGGGCCGCAATATTTTTTTTTTGTGTTTGGCTGCTTTGAAAAATTTTTTTCTGAAAGTAATTTTCAGATGCAACGGGGGAAAAAACGGGATAAACACAAACGTGAAACTTGTAAATAAAATAATCTGATATATAGCCTACACTCTAAAAAATGCTGGGTTAAATACAACCCAGTGCTGGGTAAAATAGGGACAAACCCAGCAATTGGGCTGTTTTGACCCAGCAATTGGGTTAAATGCTTAACCCAACCTTCAACCACTGGGTCAAAACAACCCAATTGTTGTTGAAAATTTTTTTTTTCAAAGCAGCCAAACACAAAAAAAAAATATTGCGGCCCCCCCAAAAAAATTGTGCCTGCCCCTCACTTTGTGCGCTCTGGCGCCGACCCTGGTTATATGTTCTGTAAAAAAAAAAAATCATATGTAGGCCTAGTAATTGATGTTATAAATATACACGCCTAATTTTTGTTTTAATTATCCATCGTACATAAAAAAAAAAAAACAACAACAAACATTTGCAATCAAGACAAAAAAGCCAGAAGTGAATGTAAACCAGATTTGGCCCAGACTCTGTTGCTATCTGTGAAGCCAAGCATAAGAATAGCCTACTAATGTAAATTTGTTAACCCACAGGAACAAATTTTAACAGATTAATCGCATATTTTAGTTTGCTGCATGCTTTTAAAAACACAAAAAAAATTTGAGGAAAATTTAAAAAAAAAGATACGTCTCGTATAAGTTGCATTTTCAGAAAAATAGTACCCCTCACTTTACAACAAATCCTTTAAATTTAACCGTATCAGAACAGAATAAGAATTTAAAAATGTATAATTCTAATGGATAAATATAATTGCAGTATATAATAATATATGCTTAGCAATAAACATACCAAAACAAATTAATTTATAAAGAAACGTAAGGTAAAGGTGGGCTTACTTCTCTCAAGCACAAATCCAAATGTGTCCATATTCGTGATGTAGCTGAAGCGAAACTATTAGCCTTATTAGGTAAAATAGGCTTTGTAGTTCATGCACGTTCCAGTATCGACAGAAAAATATAATAATGAGCAAAAATATGGCACAGTGGAGTGGGTCTCACGCCGAACAGCACGGTGAACGGATGGGCTGTTTCCAATGAATGCAGTAGCTTAGTGTGCGCATGAGGCGCCGGCACGATCAAACAGCTGAAACATAAAATACACTACTCCCTCATTTTTGGTCATACAGTAAAGGCGTAATTCGAAACCGCAAAGTGTTAGCAGTTTGAAAATTAAAGAATATTTAGTAAAGTTAATAAGAATTCTTTCTAAATGCAGCACCGTTCTTATTTCGCTCTGCATAACCTGAACGAAATTTTTTTTATTTATTTTTGCTAAGAACGAACCGAAATGAAAACATTTAGCTTTTAATCTGTGTATTTAACAGCCTGGGAAACCTTCCCAGGACAGTACCTTGCCTCACCGACTAAAATCAGGGAGCCCACTATGGAGATGGCACCAGAGGTGAGGGGGCACAGTGACCGAGGTGGCCGGTGTTTATACGGGTCCGCGCCGCGGCCCAGAACTCATGCTTATCACATCGGTCACATCGCGCGGCGCGCGTCCGGTGTATGTTGCAGTGAACTGATGCCTCGTTCTATTTATGACGTGCTGACACAAAGTTCAAATGATTTTCAGCGGTCGCTTTGTCATTTCCTGTTGTGGTGCAGACACACGGTGTCAGCATAGTTTGTCTGTATACAGTCAGTAACATAGCAGATTGAAAAGTTAGTATCTTTCTGCAGTCCAATAGACGGCAGTGCGGTGGTGGCTTGAGTCTGTTGAATGGTGATTTAGTGCTACGGTGTCACCTAGTTGGAGAGACTCAATGCTAAGTAAATAAACAAAAATGTCCCCGTAGTGCTGGGCGGTATGACCAAAAATTTATATCGCGGTATTTTTCAAAATCATACCGGTTTCACGGTACATGACGGTATTTTTACCGAGAGGAAATACTGCAATATATTGACTTAGAATGCCCTATTTTACTGTCATGATGAGTGAATATTG